CGTTCCAACAGTTTTTGTCCAAATAGCTTCACACGTGAACTAGTCAAGACTCTTTATTATAGAGCTAAGAGATTATACTATTTGGAGAAATTGGAGGAAGAATTTGTGTTTCTTGAAAAGATGTTGAAGAGCAATGGTTACCCTCAAAGATTCATTAACAAGTATGGAAGATCTGAAGTCTCAAATGTAAAACAAATCACAGTGGAGAAAAAGCCCATCTACATTCAACTTGATTATAAAAGAGAAAAAAATGCAGCAGTGGTCAACAGAAGACTGAGTTCGTCACTAGCCACAGACTATCCTGTAGCTAAGCTCGTCCCCGTCTGCCGAACTACTTGCTCTTTGGTGCAACTGAAAATCGATAGATATCCTTCTCATGTTAACTCAAACTGTATATGCAAATCTACATGTATCCATGGGAGAAGACATATTGGAAGAACAGAAAGAAAGGGTATATCTACGATTTTCTGAACATGTACCAAAAAGCTTATGTCTAAAGGAAACAAATGCTTTAAACAGCGCCATCAATCTTCAGGCCTCTCCTTGACACGGATCATGAGGTGGACGTCGCAAAATCGTTCAAAATTATCAGTAGGCAAAAGAGTTCAATTCTCCTCAAGTTTGCTGAAGCCATCTCCATCAAGCGCCTGTTTCTGTAGATATATTTAATAATGACTTTGGCCTGTAAGCAGAAGCCAACGAAATAAATGATGGTACCATTTTATTCTGCAAAAGCTGTTGTTCTTGCTTTATTCAAATTAAAGAAAATTCGTTTTCTCTATAATTTTTTATATATATACATATATATACAGACACACTGAAAAGCAGCCAAGAATGGTTATTGTAAAACAGTGGTTTAACAAAAACTCAGCGTAGTCAAACAACAAAAATTTGGAAAGTGTGTTTCTTACTCATGGCATCTTGGATCTCTCATTTATAAATTAGGCCAACATTATATTCATATTAGAGGCCGTTGTTTAAAGCGAATGGAGTTGTTGAAATACAAAAATACACAATAATAACAGCTTATATCAAGGAAACAAGGTTAACCTTAATTAACTGAAAATGCCCGTTAAAATTTCTTTCAAAAGAAATGGTTACTGAGCAAAGAATATTCTTTACGATAACCAGCTCTACAGTTATATATACATAATAGTGAGTGAATTAGTGTAATGAACAACATTGATGTTGTTTCAATAACATCGAACCAATAATAATGATAATATCAATGGATTACAATTCGATAACATCAACATAACAATGCACTGAATGAATATCAGAGAAATTAGAAAAGAGAATAATACAAATTCATGAATTTATAGTCTCCACTGAAGGCCAGGCTAGTAGAAGGGGCTGGCTGGACTTGCTTCTTCTGCACGCAGAGCACCAGTTGTTTCAGGCAAATCGCGATAGCCTCTGCTGTTTGGAGTATACAGTACCTGGATGTTTTTGGCAATTTATTTGATACCTGGTAGATGAGAGAGAAGGATTCATTAATGCTGGCTTTACGGTCAGTTTGTACCAGGTGGTCTAATATCGAACTGTTGGTGGTTTTCACTGCACCTTTATTTAGCTACACAGGTAGGTATTTCCAAGCACGAAAAATCAAGTTCGAAGCTCTCTGATAACCTTTCATTTACCACCATTCGATGTGCACTTTGTTGGCAAGTAGAAGAACCTGTGGTTTGTTGACCAAAGCGCGAAATTGACCAATCGAATTTAATCATTGCTAGGCCGCAGATAACATACTAATAGTAACTAGTCTCCACTTTATTTATAAATATATATAATGGATTGAACTGCAAGTTCCATGATGTGTTCCCGAAGTTCTTAATTCTTTTGATCCCGAAATAACGGCTGCTAAGCCCTAATAATCTTACACATGGGTGAAACTAATTGAATACAAAACATAAACAGTGTCGTTCTCCATGAGTATATGCTTGAAGAAAGCACCTCGGCTGTTTATTCCCAATTTCTGGACATTTCAAACAATATCTTCATTAGATTAGAAGCTACTAATTACGCTGTTTGCATCCAAATAAGTTTAAATGAATCTTAGTGTGATGTTGTACATTTAGAGAGTAGTTAGCTGCTAATTATTATCATCCTAGAAACAAATCTCCAGTAAAATCCGTTTAGTCCTCAAAGTATATATTTGCGAATAAAGAGGCTTCGATTAGTGCAAGAGAAAATCAAGTACTCAAGGGGCAACATTTTTTCGAATGGTTTCTCTGTTTTCCGTTTACTAGAAAATAACATGGAAAGCAGAGAAGTAAAACTGACTATTGGTAATCGTTTTCTTACTGAGGTGCTTCATTCAATAATAATAATAATACTCACTGTCATTATTCGCTCTGGTTCCCAGTGAAATATATGCATTCAGCATCACATCTCTATTTCACTTCGTTTTGTGAAGTCCTTCTTCAACTGGATCCATGACTGTCTGTAAACGGTAATCTCCTCCTCACAAGATCTCCTACATATCACACAACCTAGGAAGCCTAACCTGTCGTTACACATTCGGATCCCACTCGAGTGCCTGGTGTGTGATGTTACTCAACCGGCACCTCGACATGTGTCTAATCCATCCCCATTTGTGTTGAACAGTTAACTGTTTTGGGTTCGTTGACAGTCCCTTGTTGCTTAACCTTTCTGAACATCTGATCTTCAGTAATGAGCAAAGGCAGCTGTTATTCGAAATCTGCAGTCTATTGTGAACGACTTCAGTGACACGCCAACTTTCTGAACCATATAGAAGCATCGATTTGAAATTTGTGTTAAAGATCCGAATCTTGTATTTTATGCCGAGTGCAGTGGGTTGCTACGATGATTCCATATCAGTGAAAGTCTGTCCTGCCTTTCCGATCCTGACCTGATTAGTTAGATTGACCACTGACTGACATCAGTTTAAAAAAACTCATTGAAAACGAGAAGGGAGTACTGGACAGCTTTTCATTCTTGTTCAAGGCTCATCAGAAGTACGCACGTGCGGTGGATTCCACCCGGTAGATAGAGAGAACAAATACTCGCTGATAACGTTGGTTAGTGGTCGCGCCAAAATCAGGACTTAATAGAAGTTAGAATATATGGGCTATGGAATCGAATCCCAGTGACTGAATGTTCCCCTAGCTTGCCTAAACGATAGCGATCCGTGTTGAAGCTTGAAGGAAATAAAATCACTACAGACTAAGTCTTGAAAATCAATTACTTATCTTAATTTAAGCTACTCGGGGTTTAAATATGCGTGTGGTGTACAAATAAAAAAATAGTATTCAAGTGTTGGTTTCTAGGGATTTGATTGGTTACAGGATTTCATCATGAGCTGACATTAGTTAGAGAAGCATTGGAAAACCTGCAGGGAGTAATGGACAGCTATTTCGTCCTAATTTGTGACTCTTCACAGTATGCACCCACCAAAAGGGTTCGAACCCAGGACCTTCTGGTTACAAGGCGAGCTCGTATACCATTAAGCCACTCGAACCCGATCCAATGGCCAGCCTATGAATTCTAACTTCTGACAATTCATGACATAGCGCGACCCCTAGCCAATGTCTTCGGCGAGTATTTGTCCTCACACCCAACCTGCTGTAGCCTACTGGTCACAACTTCTCACTAGAACCCCAGGTTTAGGGGGTATAAAGGGTTCAAAAAAGGGTATAAAGGACAAGAAATCCTTTAATTAATCTTTAAATTGACAATGACACTGAAGATAATTTACCCCCAATGTCCACAGCTATTTGAAGTTTGTAATTGAGTTCATCTATAGGATGACCAACTTGTTAATTCTATTGATATCCTAAAATAAAAGTTTTGTGAGCAGATCAGATGTCAAGACATGAATTCCCTTTTTTTTGATGGAACCATAACTTAAGGTTATTCACTGACATTCTGTTCAGTAGGGATTTTCGCTGTGTTCATGTGTCAGGGTTACAGACTTCAAATGACATCTTGCTTAGCTGTCTTATGAGACGAGGATTTGTTTTGTTCATAGCTGGTTATCATAACAATAACTTCACAAGCCTTGAAAAATACAGAAAACATCAAGTGGTTTTTTGTTCTAATTCTTATAACGGTTTATTATTAATAAATGATTGCTCTGAATATTCATCTTCAAGTTGTTGCGTGAGTTTACATAAGGTAATCGATGGATGTTCCTTAATCACAATGAACTGTTAACCTAAAAGATTTCTACACTCTTAATGTTGCTTATTACCCTCTTAACTCAAGTGTTTTTAGAAACCTTCTTTGTCACAAGTATTTTATCAGAAAAGAAAGGAAAATTAGTAAATATTTGTCTTTAATAGACATCAACTATTAGCTACAATTCAATTTGCACTATCCCATTGTTTGACTAGATCGATGTGCTCGGCCTCAAGTTGACATGTTGGCTCCTTGTGCAGATGCTTCGACGATGTCTGATTACTTAACTTGAAGTGAATCGGTGGTGGATGGTGACTAGCAGTGGAATCCAGGATAAAGCGCATTTCGTCCTACTTGGGACTCGTCATCCGGATGTACCTGCATTCCACAATGAGTCCATGAGTGTTGGTGTTCCCGCTGGGTCTCGAACCCAGTGTCCATAGTTTCATAGGTCGAAGTGTTATCCACTAGACCACTTGGGCCAACATGTCAATCTGAGGCCGAGCACTTCTGTCCAATCAATCAACAGGAAAGTGCAAAGTGAATTATAAATAATTACTGATACACTCGTTGCACAAGAAAGAGCTGGCTGTCGTTGCTGAAACTATGGGTACTGGGTTCGAGTCTCATTGGGAAAACTATCACTCAGTGACTGGAAAATGTAGATACAACTAGCTGACGAGTCCCGAATAGGATTGAATGCGCATCCTTGTTTCCCCTGCTAGTCACCATCCACCACCAATTCACTTCAAGATAAACTATTAGCACTGCTTGTTTAACAGATAGTATTATGAAGTCTTATAAATATCAAGTTTCTTATCCAGCTTTATTTGTTTTGGTTTTTATTTTTAAATTTGTAGCAGAATAAATTACAACCTGGAAGACGAACAAGAAATTGATCATTTTACTGCCGATGAAATATTTCATCCAGTTACAGATTCAGCCATAGAGACAGAAAGACTTGTCATCAATGTAAGCGGTTTACGTTTTGAAACACAAGTACGCACTGTAAGTCAATTTCCCGATACCTTATTAGGTAATCCGAATAAACGTAACCATTATTATGATCCATTGAGAAATGAATATTTTTTCGACAGAAATCGATCAAGTTTTGACGGGATCTTATATTTTTATCAAAGTGGTGGTAGACTTCGACGACCAGTCAATGTACCGATTGATGTATTCAATGAAGAAATAAAATTCTATGAACTTGGTGATGAAGCTTTAGCTAAATATCGTGAAGAGGAAGGATTCATCAAGGAAGAACCGAAAGTGTTACCAAGAAATCGTTTTCAACGTAAAGTATGGCTACTGTTTGAATATCCAGAAAGTTCATTAGCTGCTCGTATATTGGCTATTGGTTCAGTATTTGTAATACTTTTGTCGATTATAATTTTTTGTTTGGAAACTCTACCACATTTTCGTAGATACAGAATAATGAATCACTTTAATTCTACAATTTATGATGAAGAAGTCATTTTTGTCGAGGATGATTTACCGACGATTGATCAACCATTTTTTATTATTGAAACTTTTTGTATAGTTTGGTTCAGTTGTGAATTGTTGATACGTTTTGCATCATCGCCAAAAAAGTTGGCATTTTTTAAAGTTATCATGAATGTCATCGATGTTGTCTCTATTATCCCTTATTTCATTACTGTTGGCACTGTTATTATTGATGATCCAAAACAACGTAATCAAACTACATCATTAGCTGTGCTAAGAGTCATCCGTCTTGTTCGTGTTTTTCGTATATTCAAGCTATCAAGACATTCAAAAGGGCTGCAGATTTTAGGGCAGACATTGAGAGCTAGTGTTCGAGAGCTAGGCCTGCTTGTCTTCTTCTTGCTTATCTGTGTTATCCTGTTTTCATCAGCTGTTTACTTCGCTGAAGCTGATGATGACACTTCTCTATTTCGTAGTATACCAGATGGATTTTGGTGGGCTGTTGTCACAATGACCACAGTGGGTTATGGTGATATGCGACCAGTGACCGTGTGTGGAAAGCTGATTGGCTCTTTGTGTGCTATAGCTGGTGTATTAACGATTGCACTACCTGTACCGGTTATTGTATCAAACTTTAACTACTTTTATCATCGTGAAACTGAATCCGATGAAAATTCGCATTCGGTTACTTCGTCAATGGAAAGTGACGCCGATGGTGATGATGTTGATGAAGAGAAGCAGAAACATACACGATTTCAAGATATCTCTCACCATATGAATAATAAAACACAAAAAACAGTTCTTCATAAAGACAGTAATATCAGTAATCCGTATGATATAACACCACCACCACCACATGTTGCCTTGAAACAAAATTCTATTTCACCAAAAAAGTCAACACCATCAACATTTTTCTAGTTCATAGCACAATGATCGCATCATTCAACTGATTTTCTAATTTTATCTGCCATCTGTAATATTTCTTTAAACTTTAGAGATTATGCTCAAAGACTGAAACGCATGCAAAACAATTATTGTCTTATTTACTACATATATATTTATATATACATATATGTATAAATACATCTTTACATTTCATCTTCAGAAAACATCTCTGCATCCTAAAGTGATGATAACTGTAAAACTGATTGCAGGTATCTTATTGCTGGAACATTTTACTACTTTTCTTGGTATTTAACACCTGTGTATACTAATAAAAAAACAGCTACCTATAAGTAGTGGTAATAGAGAGACAATATGCTGTAACTAAGATCACTAAGACCGGTTGACTGATGCATAGTGAAGGCAGTAATTTCTACCATTTCTAATTCTTGTATCCAAGCACAAACACATATATATATATATGCGAAACAAATATTTTTATTAAAACACTTATTTCATTAGAGTCCGTTTATTAAATCTATTTTTTCGCTTCTTCTTGAATCCGCGTGTCAAAGAACAGTAATAAAGACACCAATGGTTTTGTTTTCTTTCAAAGACAGACTTTTAATGTTAAAAAGAAGTACTGTCAAACACGCACACCAAATAAAAGTAAGGCATCTGTAAAAATAACACACTCATTTTGAGGTAAGTCCTACTTAGAAAAAGAAAACACTTTCTATTGACTCTTTTATCCCATATATATGAGATGTACTGCTACCTATTTGAGTACTGTAAGAAAAATATTTTTCTGTATCTTGTGTGCATTTATATATGTTTTATCAAAATAGAACTTGCATTTTAAAAAAAAAAAGATTTTATTGTTCATACTTCTAAATTTGTTGTGTGTTTTCTTGAATGATTTCGATGCACAAGTGTTAAATGTGAACACCTATGAAATGATTAATAGAAATACTGAGAAACTGTCGCTGTTTTTAAAAGCGGTAGTGCGGAAATAACTCAACCTACACTTCAGTATGGTATTGAGTTTAATGGTAAGGTGTAAATTATTTGGTGACTCTAAACTACACCAGTCTAAACCGAAAATACCTAGCGAACGGATAAATGACCTTGAGCAACCACCAATCAGGTGAATCCATATTATACAGGCGTACTTGTGGATGCTGTACACCTTTTGCGTTGCAAATTCGCTCCAGATCTTGTTTTTGATTACTGTTTGGAGAACAAACTGATAGGAAGGTCGAAAAAGTGTGAATGTGGAGGTGTCATGTATTTACAAAGATATACTAGGTGCATTGATGGATTTGTTTACAGGTGAGATGAGTGCCGAACCAGAAAGTCAGTTCGAGAAGGTATGCCGTTATTTTTTAGTTTACAGATTCCATAGGTACCTGTATCGAAAATTTTAGTGATGTGTCATAACTGGGTGCTTAAGAGACCAGTAACAGCAACAGCGTATGAATGGGAAAATTCGGAAGTGTCTGCAGTGCGATGGTACCAGTACTGCAGAGACATAACATCATGGAAAATGAACATGCCGATTCAAGTACTTGGCGGCGTTGGTGTCATTGTTCATGTGGATGAGACAGTGCTTATAAAAAATATGATCGAGGTAGACTGAGTGAGAATCAGCAGTGGGTGTTGGGGATATATGACACCACCCTCCACAAAGGATACATTAAGGCGATCCCTAATCGTAGCGCTAATGTTTTATTGCCTACTATCCAAAGCTTAGTGATGCCTGGAACAACTGTTCACACAGATGAGTGGAGTAGTTATAGTCAGCCACCAACCCTGGGCTATATTCATCACGCCGTCAACCATAGAAATCATTTGATCAATCCTTTAGATGGAACCCACACTAATTCCATCGAAAATTCTTGGAGTCACCTCAAAAAACAGATCACATCTGTGAATGGATCAAGAGATGCAATGGTATACAGTTATCTCGATGAGTTTATGTAAAGGGCTTGGTTTGAAATAACTATGAAGACTCCTATGGGAACGAGAATCTTATCCTTTGTGACTATTTTTTAACATCGCATTACTTTTATATAAACGTTTTATTCAAGTTATGCGCTGTTTCTATACCGGCGTGTGAGTGGTCAAAGTTGTCGTTGTGAAGGTCATTTATCCTTTCTCTAGGTAGTTTTGTTTTGGACTGCTATAGTTTAGAGCCACCTAATTCCCTTAGGTTCTGAGTAGGACATATGGCTTCTCTGATGTTCTCCCTTAGCCGGCTATACGTTTGTCCATATTTTTTCATCACCTCCTCATATGACCTTTGCATATCATCCTCGGATACTCAATTCGTTTCTCGCTCAGGTTCCAAATAAGGCACTAGTTATCATTCAGTGATCTTCTTAGCTTGTGTCGAAACCATCTAGATTTTCGTTGGCATATTTGTTGGTTCTTAGTTGATACACTACTCGCCAGAGTCTCTTGTTGCTAATCCTTTCTGGATGGTCATGTGATTTTTAATGGAGAGCTAACGAAGAGAGCTGCTGGTTGAAGACTACATCAGGTTGGAAATGCCTCTTGTGACACGCCAAGTTTCTCAACCATAAATAAGAGCTGATTTTACATTGGCGTTGAAAATCCGAATCTTGTTCTTTATGCTCAGTGCAGTAGACTTCCAGACTGATTTCAGAGTACTGAATGTTTGTGTTGTCTTTCCAATCCCGGCCATGATATCTTAATCCGTGACGCCTGTCGACTGAATCTCTGTTTATAACTTGTAAGACTGAATTTTATCCTTCACACACACCAAAACCAAGCTCTCACTATTAAACCATTTATTTTGCTTCGCTAAAAATACGGCAATATAAAATTCATTGGCGTAAATTGCATAGGTGAACAATAATGATATTACTGTAAGTTAAATTAAGGTAAGAAAAATAACTTATGAAAAGAATTCGAACCCGGGACCTTCCGGTGACAAGCAAGCAAGCTTGTATACCATTCAGCCACTGGGATCCGCCCGATTCATTGGCCAACCAATGGATTCTAACTTCTACCAATTCGTGATTTAGCGCGACCGCCAGCCACTTGACTGGATGGGTCTCATTGGTCACGACTACTCACTAGAACTCCAGGAAACTCCATCCTGTAGCAAGTCACTAACGAGCATCAGATTAATTTTCTGTAGTTGGTTTGTAAGGATTAGATCTTCTTTGATGAGTTCGACCACAAAATGATATCAAGTGTGAGAATGAACGTCTCACCGATGACATTGGTTGAGGTCGCGCTAAACCACGAGTCGGTAGAAGTTAGAATTCATGAATTGGCCAGTGAATTGGGTCCCAGTGGCTGAATTGTATATGGGCTTGCTTAAGTTGTAACCGTAATGTACTGGGTTCGAACCCTCTGTGGGGTGGGTGCGTACTAGCATTTACATTCACCGAAATCGCAGATGAATACAGTTTTAAAACTGACTCATTGTCTCGAATGCACACTGATTTAAAACAGACAGTTGAAAATCCTATCACACCCTAGTTAAACATAATGTGTCTGAGCTTTCATTATTCACAGTTTCAAGTACAGCAACACATCTTTGACAAGAGGAACCACCTATGTGTAAGTGTTATCTGAAAGTGCATCTAAAGTATGAAATAAAGAAGTATTTTAACCTCCAGCCATCTTTTCTTATTTTATGAAAACATTATCATACTGTGTTATCCACCGAAATGGAGTAAAGATGTAAAAAAGCTTATTACAATTACATGTTAGACGTTGACAGTTTAATGAATTCAGTATAAAATGTGCATTGGTAAACAGACGTCCTTCTATTCTCTATTGTTAAAAAAGGGCGTTCCCTGCTGCTGAATTATACTGTCTTCAAAACCAATCCTCTTTTGCGCTCCGGAGTAAAAGATAAACTGCCTAACCTCACCTCCTGCATGTGAATCTACCAATTTAACCGCTCCTGTGGAGCCATTTACACAGGCCGTACAATTAGGCGTTTTTCACGTCACATTTCCGAAAATCACCCTGCGTGGTTAAGCTAAGGACAAACAAAGTCTGTTCATAGCGCTATTCTATCTCATCTTGTGGATACAGAACACAAGATTGATGTTGTCCAGGCTTTCAGGGTCATTTACAGCATACCAACATTTCTTAACTTCGCCTTAAGAGTTCGTTTCTAAATATTGCTGAGGCTGGCCATTCGGGATCCACATTAAGAAGCCTAATTTTTGCATCCAAAAGAAGCCAGTTAACACATTGTCATTGCCTTGGCCATCTAGGTTCGAATGGTCCTCAATGTTTGTATAAATTTCCCTAATTTTAGTTGATATTCTATTTGCTATTATATCTTTAGTATTATTATAATTTAAGCAACCTTAACGAACTGTAATTCCATTGATCTTACTTTACAAGTCAATATTATATAAAAAATACTAATATTGTTATTGACTACTCTTCTAGAATATTCTATGTATATAAACATATACATAATTGTAGAGCCAGAAAATAAGTAACATAGGGAAATTTAATGGCCATAGCACCTCTGTCGACACTGTACCTTAGGTGATCACTATCTGTAGGAAGTACTATTTATGGACAAATTCCCTCTGCTTTTCCTTCGCTTTAATACTGCAGTATATTCAAAATGTGAAATGAACACATTTAACTGAGGCTTTGTCATAATCAGCAAGTCGATGTTTGCTGTGAATCCGCTCATTAGAAAGTAATACTAATATTTTATATTTAGAACAAACTGTTTCTTTCGTTGTAAACACTTAAAGCTGAAATGATTTGCATAAAAAAGATGTTCATTTAAACAAAACTATGCATTTAAAAGGCGTCAGCATTAATTAATGTACACTATTATGTAACCATTTATATTTACATTTATGAAAAACCACCAGGTGATGGTATTTTCCTAACATCCACTTTATTTAAATATGCGATGTCCATGTGGAATCTTACTTACTCAGTAAGACATGACATCGACTTATACTACAAAATCCGGAATTCACTGAAGTGACGACATATTGATGATTAGTAATGTATGTAATTGTTTACGAAATGAAGCATTCATTAACGTTCAACTATTAAGAAGGTTTGAACAAAGCAAGAACTACAGTTTTAGCAGAATAAATTGGTACCATCTCTTATTTTACTGCCTTCTCGTCAACTGCTCTCAGGCCACAGTCATTATTCGGTATATCTACAGGAACAATTTTAACATACTTGCACAGAGTTCATTTTTAAACAAAAATCAATCGATCAGTATATGCATATAGTAATAATATATATATTTATATATGTAATATTAAACACTATTCCGAACAATAATAATCATACACAATGGAAACTTTTCAGCATTTGGCATTCAGATGAAAGAGAGATGAAAATATTCAGTTACCAGGGCAGAGAAAGACTGATAACTGCTTCTTTCTGAACGCACAAATCAGGTTTCAGGCTTTTGATGGAGATAGCTTCAGCAAACTTGAAGAGAACTTAGCTCTTTCGCCTATTAATAATTTTGAACGATCTTGCGGCGTCCAGCTGATGATTCGTGTGAAGGAGATGCCTGGCGATGGATGGCACTGTTTAAAGCATTTGTTCCCAACTGGAGACATAAGCTTTTTGGTACATGTTCAGAAAATCGTAGATATGCCCTTCTTTCTGTTCTTCCAATGTGACTGCTCCCGCAGATACATGTAAATTTGTACATACAGTTAGAGTTAACATGAGAAGGATATCTATCGATTTTTGATTGCACCAAAGAATAAGTTGTTCGATAGACGGGGACGAGCTTAGCTGCAG